TCTCTGTTGATACCTGTATGGTTGAGCTTGGTAGTGCTCCCTCTTTTCCGAGGGGTTTCTATGAGCACGCCGCTCCCTCCTGACAATGGTTGCTGTGGCTTTAGTAACAGTTTTTCTAAATCCATATCTATGGTAAGTGCTCACGCTAGTTCTTTGTGCACTTTTTCTAGTCCATATTCATGGCAGGTGTGCACGCTAGTCTTTGTGCACCTTTTTTAAAAACCCTTGTTGGGTAAGGGTGGTGCAATGCTGACCTCGTCCCCTTTCTCTGAGTTGGTTCTGGCCCCGGTTTTACCTTAAGCCCCACTCTCCGTGTACACACTTTGTAGACAGGGTGTTGCTACTAGTCCCCTGGGTATCTTATACTCTCAGAGTGGGAAGTAGTCCCTGTGTTACAAGCCAGGATATGGGTTTTTGCCAGCCCTGGTTCTTGGCTGTATCCCCTTAAAGGAATCCTTTCTTTATTATTCCAAGCCTTGAGCTTTGCCCTGGGCTCTGGTTTTTCATAAGCCAGCCCTAGCAGGTAAGTTTTTTGGCCCAGCTCGGGCCTTTTTTGGCCGTAGGGGGTCATATCACTAACAGCCGTCAGAAATGTCCTAGGGGCAGCTCCTCTGATTTGGTTGAGTTGGTACTTAGTGCTCGTCTCAGTATTGGCATGCACTCCCCTCAGCATGGTGGCATGTGTATACCGTTCCCCATAGCGACCCCTAGAGGACGCAGTTCGAAGTTCCCTCGGAAGGGAACGTCTCAGGTTACATATGTAACCATGGTTCCCTGAGAAGGGAACGAGACACTGCGTCCTCTAATCTCCTTGCCATGCTTCGGACGTAAGCTTCAGGCGAAAAAGCGGATGACGTGTTCTCCTGGCGCCCTTTTATACTGTGGTCGCGCCGGTTATGACGTCATAGACTGTCGACGGCCAATAGCATTGGTGCGTTTACATGTATGCTTCAGACACCGGTCACACTGGAGGCATTCTCCATAGTGACCCCTAGAGGACGCAGTGTCTCGTTCCCTTCTCAGGGAACCATGGTTACATACGTAACCTGAGACGTTCTTGTAGTTCTTATATGTAATATTTACAAATGCCTCTTCCTACTTTTAAAACCTATATTTTTAATATTAGTGTAATATTCTGATATGGTGCTCAAAAAATATTTGCTGAATAAAAGTATTAATTTATTTTTAAAAATCTTTAGTGTCAAAGTTTTGAATGGTTGTGTATGTGTATGTTTTTGTTATTTACATTTACACACCATAACATATTAGCATGCTTTGTGTTCACATTTAAAATGGCTATTCACTGAGATTCTGAAAAGAATGGCCTTTGGTGAAGCCTATGTGCACTATAAGTGCCTTTAGCAGGTGGTCTTGGCAACATGGGTGGGCTGAACTTGAACAAAGCATGTCAAATATCCTTCTGATGTGGTAAGAAGCATCTCATTCGTTCTTTTACTTTTGTTACTCACTTGTGCAGTACTGGTGGTATCTGTCCCAAGCAACGGCTGCAATAAAATGGATGCTGGCAAGAGCAGTCATAAAGCCCTGGAATCCATGGGTTTGGCATCCGTCTGATCCATAAGGCCAGTATCTGGAGTTTCAAGAAGATGAAGTATTTAAAAAGATAAAAGTTTGCTGGTTGATGTTAATAGCTTATGTTGTTTATCTGTATTAATAGTTTTAAATTAATAGTCATGTGTTATGTATTTTTCTCAATGACAGATTTTTCTAACTTGTTTCCTCTATCTTGAATATTTGATCACATCCTTGCTTGTATCAGTAAAAATTGAAATCTAACATATTGGTGTTTTGGAACATGGTAGCTGGTTTCTGGCCCAAACGGCTCATTAGCTGGCTACAGTTTTCCAAAAAAAAAACAGCTGATTTTTTTGCACTAGCTAATGACCAACTGTTGGAAACCAACTACCATGCTGGATATTCCAACAATGAATTCCTGCTTACAATCATCAATCAATCAATAAATAATAGTTTCCCAGCCTGGCCAACCTGGTGTTGCCAGAAAGGGCAGACGAAAATGCCCAAATCTTCTCTAAAACCAGCCAACAAACCAGATTGTCCAGACCAGGGAGACCAGCTAAAACCAGAAAATCACCTTAGGCTGGATTATGCTATTTACTTTGGCAGGGATGTGATTAAAAGACGCATTTCGTCACACAGACAGTTAAAAATATCATGCAACCCCAACTATCCCTCTAACTTAACACCTGCACTTCAGTCATTCATTACGAAAAAAGGCCCCTCTTAAGCAGCATTACATCACAGCTGTATTTACACACTACACCCGTGACGCAGCGTCGCCTCTAGGGGTTCCGTCAACAACATCATCAACACACAAACGTGCGCGTGCTCACCTCAGAAAACTGGAGAAGGCAGCAACTGTGGCGTTCATAGAAATACCCATATCTGCCATGGCCAGACTGAACACGAGAAAATTACTTGGGGTCCGTAATTCTCTTATTTTAAGAAAAGCAACAACGGTGACAGCATTTAGGAAGAACCCGAGGAGACCTTCAGAGGACACAGAAAACGTGTGAACATTCAGAGCTTCTCGATACCCCCAAAACAACGCGGTTACACAACAGTAACATACATTCATTGACAGTCTTCAGATAGACAGTTAAATCACCGCTATGTGTTTTACAACCGTTTTGCTATCGTTCCTGGATAAAGCGCATCCTATTGAGGCAATGCATATCCACAAATTAATACACGCGATCTTCTTTTTTTAACCTGAACATGACTCTTACCCTCCACGAGCAGACAAGATCCCAGGGAGAACACATCAAACTCGGAGAATCCCTCCGGTAATGGATACGACGTTACCATTTTGAACGCAATTCTAATACCAAACTATGCAGAACGACAGTCCGCTCGCGCGCGCGATGTGCCTCAGGGTGTTCAATCGAAGCCTTCTTTTAAAGGAGCATTTCACGTGAAAAAGCATGAACGTAATTATGTAAAGCCCTCTCCCTCTGCCTCAATCCGCACAAGAATGTCTTAATGAATATAACAACTCCTACCATTGACCCCTAATACGTATTTACACAGGGCGACTGTAAAGCGCTCATTCAGTTAAACAACAAGCCTTTGTGTGTCGGACGCTTGAGCGCTCTGATGATAAGACCGAGGTGGATGAGAACACTAACGGATACTGTATACCACACGGTGTGCATAGGGATGATTAGAGAAACTGTGCATTTACAATGACTTTCCTCAATTGTATGAGACAGACATTGTGGTTTGGAGAAAGAGAATAGATCTTCAGACACATTAGAGAGAGAAAATTACACTTGTATTCACAAATAGATTAGTTGTTGTTCTGAGATATAATTTTAGGGACATTTACAACATTAAGCCTTTACATCCTATACAATCCTAATGGCAAGATGTGTTCAGTGCTGAAATAGAAACATTTTGAATATTTTTAGACAAAATAGCCAATCCGAATTGCATTTAATAAAAGGCCCTTTGTTTCCTGATTGCATTATTCATACATGAGTGAAAGCCAAATGATAAGGTACAAAGAGTAACACTGATACACTAACCTACTTTCATCAGGAATAGATTTAATCAGATCTACAATCATCAGTGTTTTATCACAAGAAGTTCTGAGTATTTCCACATACAGGGCCTTACATATACAATGTATAATTTCTGAGTGAAACATATGAAATGGCAAAATTCAAATTCAGGGCTTATCATACCATACATGTCCCAAACAAAACCCATATTATTCAGTCAAGTATTTCAGTAAAGTTTACGAGGTTATGAAATATAATTTACATGTTAAAAATGCCTAGTCATATAACCATACAAAATCCTTTTTTTTTCACTCAAATTTCCACATACTTCTGTAAAGTAAAAGATGAATTTGGTTTTGTAACAAAGCTTTAACAACAACAAAAAAGTACATGGTACTGAGCTCACTGCAGCCTTTACTGAACTCTATATACTTTATAACTGTGACACTCACAAAAAGATCTTTAGGGGAATAATGTGACCTTAGTAGGTTTGTGAGAGAGGTTTAGGAAGTCAGAGGTTAAATTAAATGTTTAGCAGTTTATATATTAATCTACAAAACATCAGAACTGATATTAGAATAACTTATTGCACACTTTTCAAAACAAACAAATAATTAAAAATGAATTATTTAAAACTATAAATAACACTTTGCAAATTTTATTTTCTTGCCTTAAGCTCATGAGTAGAGAAATTCTGTTTTATATTTACAACTTGGCACTAAAGAACAGATGACCTGATTCCAAGGTTCAACCCATGTTGTGTTTACAAACCTGCAGTAGCACAAGCAAATAGGCTTCTGGCAAAAATAACTCTTGTGGTCCAACAGTTACAGGAACACAGTCTCATTAAACAGAGACACGCCATACCAGTTTTATACCAAGGAAATATTTACATGTAACCCTTTCAGAAAGTAAATGTGTGGAAAATTTTAACTCCTCTGCATTTGGCACTTATTAAAGTAACTCAAGAAAGATTTTTAAAATAGTTATTATCATTCCTGCACTTTTTTTTTTTTTTTTTACTGTTTTGAGCTCATGATGTTAAGATATTTTGTTAATTTTTTTCTTACATTGGCTTGTATCTGTCTATTAAGAACATAATATTAACAACAATTAATAACATAGTATTTATAAACCCTAACAACAGGCTCTTAGAAAGAACAAGCTGCCTGTCAGCCAAGGCCTAACAGGATTACATGAAGGAAAATATTTTAAAAATCCTATTGGACATGCCACTCAACGATAGCTGTGCACAAACTTGGATGTCCTTAGTCTGGCAACTCTCATGCTGACATTGCACATTAATTATTACAAGGAAGGATCGATAAACTAATTTTAATTATTTACAACATAGAAATAAATATTGTTTTATTTTTTTAACAGATGTTGAAACAAAATATTTCAACACTCCCTGGTCTCCCCTTTGTTCAGTGCAAGAACACAGTACCTAGACGATAGTGACTGGTACAGCCAGAACAGACCAACTTCCAAAAGTATCGTCAGCTCTTACACAATCTAGAAGTGATGCAACATATTTCTTAGTTTGGCTGTCAGATAGAGGATGGTTTGAAAGAGAGCTGGATGGGGGATGGGCATTCAACATTATGGCCAATTCAGAAATATTTCCTCCCTATAATTAACAGCTGTATCTCTGTGTAGCCTATCAGATTCCAAGATGCATCCCCATCTAAATGAAAATAACGCGCGTGATTTCGCTAATCCTTATCTGTCCTTTTTATCTGCTGGACTCGTAGCAGTCAGATCACTATGGGACTGCGACGATGACATGCTGGTTATTTTTTCCCATAATTGCAAGTGGGTGGTTTTTCATTAAAACTACGTTCGGCGGTGTTTTGTTGACATGAGTAGCGAAATGTCTCTTACTGTCCTTTTGGGTCTCCTACTGGCATCTGGTGGCTTTCCACTTGTTCGGAGCACCTGTCCTTCCCAATGCAGCTGCTTTTATCATAACCTGAGTGATGGATCAAGAGCCAGGTGAGCCTTGTTTTATTATCTCAACTGTAGCCTATTTAATTCATGCTATGCATTTTTACCCACTTGAAATGTGGTGCACTTGTGCCTTTTAGATTTTTGCGCATTTCACATTCTGGCTACATAATGTGCGTAATACAGTTTAGGATATATTTACACACTGAAGGTATTTACTTATTCTTATTTTTTAGTATCACTTAGAGTTTTAAAATATGAATATGAAATTTAAATTCAAAGATCTTTCATTTTCATTGCGCAATATGGGTATACATTTTGACGCAAATAATAACTTTTGATTTGTGATTTTTTTTATTTTATTTTATTTTACAAGCATTTGTAGCGTCAGTCAAAGCCCGCTGGTTTTAAAGATCCGTGTGCGCTTGCTTTCAAATCCCTGATTATCGCTCTTTATTCTGGTTTCTAATGCGTTTTGCAGGAGCGTGATTTGCAACGATCCCGAGATTTCCCTGTTGCCCGCCACGTTCCCAGGTGACACCTCGAAACTTCGGATTGAAAAGACTGCCATCAAGAGGATTCCGAGCGAGGCTTTTAGTTACCTCTCTAACTTAGAATTCCTTTGGATGTCTTTTAACGTTTTGTCCTCTCTCAACTCGGACAGTTTTCAGGGTTTGTACAGTTTAGAGGAACTAAGGCTCGATGGAAATTCGCTCACTTCGTTTCCGTGGGAATCCCTCATGGACATGCCCAGTCTGAGGCTACTCGATATACACAACAACCAGCTCTCCTCAGTATCGTCTGAGGCTGCTCCCTACATAAAAAATTTAACCTACCTGGATTTATCTAGCAATAATCTGCTGACAGTGCCATCTGAGGTCCTCAATACTTGGTTGACAGTCAAACACATCCAGGGAGCAGAAAGTTCAAAAATTATTCTTGGCAAGTTTTTCCTTTGTCATATTTTCTTAATTTAATATATTGAGGTTATTATTTATTTTATATATTTGTATATTTAATTATTTATATAGATTATATTTCTGTTTTTCTACTTAAAAATGTCCTGTTTAATTCAGTGTTACTTGCCTTTTCTTTGCAATTATTTGTGAAATTTACTAGTAATTTCAGACTGAAAATCGTTTCAAAGTAAATCCTGCACCAGTTTTTTTCAGTGTATATATTTTTATATAAATACATTAAAAAAATTCATAAAATACTAAAAAAAAAGAAAAAATCCCTTAATTTCTTAAGAAAACTTTTAGAGGAAATTCTCTCAAAATTCTAACTTTTTATTACAATCATAAAGGTTTTCTTAATTTAAGAGTTTTGTTGTAACTTGCCACTGATCATTTGCTTTGCCCCAGGTCTTCATGACAACCCTTGGTTGTGCGATTGTCGATTATACGACCTGGTCCAATTCCAGAAGTCTCCCAGTCTGTCGGTGGCTTTCATTGACACGAGGCTGAGGTGCGCAGATCCAGAGAGCCTCTCTGGAGTTCTGTTTAGCGATGCTGAGCTCCGGCGCTGCCAGGGGCCTCGTGTCCACACGGCCGTAGCCCGGGTGAGAAGCGCAGTGGGCAACAATGTCTTGCTGCGATGTGGAACCATTGGAGTTCCCATCCCCGAGCTGGCCTGGAGAAGGGCAGATGGGAAGCCACTGAATGGGACAGGTGAGTCAGCACAGTGGCGGGCAGCTAAGCAGCATTAGCCAGAAGTGCTAATGCACAGTGATTACACTGCTGGCACGGACACAACAATGCACTGTGATTACACAATACTAATTAGTTCTTGCATTTTGAGCGAATGTACTCAAGCGTTCTGCTTTTTTCCTTTAAATTTTGCAGCTCAACTGGAGAATTTGAAGGAGGGAATCGTTTGGTCTATTTTAAGCGTGCCTGCAGTGTCCTATCGTGACACGGGAAAATACATCTGCAAAGCAACAAATTATGCAGGGAGTGCAGAAGCTGTCATTTCTTTGATCATAAGTGACGCACCCAAAGCTGAGAATCTGACTGTGGATCCAAAAACCAAAGTGAAGTCCAAAAAGCCGAACCCAATAGTCAAGGCAGCCTATCAAGAAAAACACATCGCCACGTATGTTTCCCCAACTCCCAACAATGCGCTACCACTCGGTGCCACCGTGAGCTACACAGGCCCATATCCAGGTATGGAAAGCGACCATGCCGCTAACAGCCGGACGAATACCCAAACGGCCAGTCCTGACGGGTTCCTAGAGACCAATCTGAGCAACCTGGCTGCGAACACATCCTCGCTGCAGCAAGACCCCGACAGGGTTGTGCGCTCTGTGAAAGTGATTGGCGATACGGACTACACTGTGTGTCTGAACTGGAGGGCACCAACTGCCAAGAACACGACCGCTTTCAGTGTACTCTACGCTGTGTTTGGCGAGCGGGATATGCGCAGAATTAACGTCAGTCCAGGCAACAACCGGATCATCATCGAGGGACTGGTTCCAAAAACCAAATACATCGCCTGCGTGTGTGTCAAGGGGCTGATCCCCAAAAAGGAGCAGTGTGTAATCTTCTCAACAGATGCAGCGGCAAGCGCTAATGGAACCCAAAAGCTCATTAATGTAGTAGTAATCACGGTTGCCTGCGTGATAGCCGTGCCTCTGACTGTGATCGTGTGCTGCGGGGCACTTAAGAGGAAAATTAAGAAGTTTCTGGGCAAAAAGTCCAAAGACATTCAGGACTCGTATGTTACGTTTGAGACTCTGTCTCCCAGCACCAAGGCCAAAGGCTTGGAAGGGGAATATCTCAACAGACTGAATGCAGAGGAGTCCAACAGACTGCTGTCGGCCCGGTCCAGCCTAGACTCGGAGTCCACGGCTAAGATTGAGGGACAGCCCAACGAATACTTCTGCTGACAATATCCCTCAGCCACAATTCCACCACGCAGCCATCACAGTATCCAGGCCCAGCCGCAGTACCTGAGTGCACATAATCTATACCAGCAGTACATGACTGACCATCCGTGAAGAAGCTTCAGGATACTTAGCATAAGTAACAAAGTGCAGAAGTGAAGACTTTTATGTTGTCTTGGTAAAGTTGCTCTTTGTTAATGTGCTTTTGGACTTGGCTCTAAACTAAGCCTTTGGCTGGTGGTGGGGTTGTGGCTGAGCAATCCCAGGAACATGTAGATATGGACTTTTACCCCTTCAGACAGTGCTAGGAGGAACTGATTCAAAGGGAAATGTTCAAATGATTTGTTGTTTATTTGTATATGTGGAAAAAAATCTATAATATCTAATAATATAATAGTATAATATCTAATAATACTATTATTACATAAGGAATTGGGGATTCATTTCCACAGTTTGTTCATATTACACATAGTCATTAGTGTAACTGTAATGGAAACATATTAGTTGGAATTTTCATACACTGGAAAAAAAACTGGTGTAGAAACAGTTTTCACTTAGAAATTGGAAGTAAGTTTCTGAAACAGCAAGTAACACACTGAATTGAACATCACATTTTGGAATAGAAAGACAAAAATAATATTTTCTCATAAGCCACACTTCGATAATCTTTATTTATAACTTTAAATCATTGTGTATGTGACATTATTTCAGTTTACCATGTGAAACTTGTGCCACCTGAACCATTCAGAACTTTTGTGTCCCAGGTTGCTTAGTACCCATTTACGCTTCAAAATAAATTTTGTTTATATATTAAAAAAGTGTTACATTTAGTCTCTTTTTTTAAACAACAATAGTAGGTCAGATCTACAATTAAGTTCCAATCAGTCTCTCACGGGGTACGTCAAGGATTACCGATAATAGGCTTTGCTCAACTCTACCTGCAGTCATGTCATGAGCAGACACGGAGCGGATATAACGTTATAGGAGACTATGGATGCCTCGATTATATTTCGTTTGATTGTTTTCTTTCTTTTATTAAGTCATATCAGCTCAGAGTGTTTTCCAGGATGCTCCTGTGGGACTGACCGTTATGGGAGGTTAGTTGCAGCTCCTTTCAGTGCACACAGTATTAACAGACGTCAGCAGTGGCATTGAGCAAAGATTGTTTTTGTGTTGAGAACAGGGCTAGCTATAGTATGTGAGAGTTATAGTTTGTAAATATGAATATATGTATGATTAGAGGAACTTTTTTGCCTCTTTTGTTAAAGAAAGGAATAAAAAAATTGGTTATATATATGCATATGTGCTTTTATATTTTATTTTATTTTATTATAATTTTTTTTAGAATTGCTGTCCCTGATAGTACTGCCATTACTGCCATGCCAAGCATTTTTTCCAGAGAAATTGAAAACCTCTGCTAGACAGCTTGAATTCAGAAACATTTTTGTATTATTTTTAATAAATCCAAAGTTACGGGTTATCCAACCTTAAAAAAAAAAAATCAATTGAAAGTATGGAATGTTTTTTCTAGGTCACTCACGTGTATGGAAGCGCCACTATCCAGCATTCCTGAGAACATACCGGAAGATTTAACTAAAATCCGAATAGAGAAATCACTGCTAAGTGAGCTACCAAAGGCAGCGTTTTCCCATGTTAAGTTGCTAAAGCATCTCTGGCTGAACTTCAATGACATCGCCATCATAAATATCACAAGTCTGGAAGGTTTGGGCAACTTGACGGAGCTCCGGTTGCAGGGTAACAAACTGCGTTCAGTACCATGGACAGCGTTTGAGGAAACCCCCAACCTTAAGATCCTGGACCTGAAGCACAACCGCATCGACGCCCTCCCGGAACACGCGCTAAAGTTTCTACCAGGCCTGACCTACTTAGATCTGTCCTCTAATCAACTCTCAGTCATTTCTAAAGACGTTTTCCTGAACTGGCCTCTCTATCACACAGAAAACAAACACGAGCGACCTACAGCGTCCAACGTTGTTCTGGCGCTTCACGACAACCCGTGGCTGTGCGACTGTCGCCTGGGAGGCTTCATTGAGTTCATCAAATCTCTGAGTCCACCGTTCATTCTAATGAACTCATATTTGACATGCTCTAGCCCCGAATTCAAGGCAGGTAAATTTTTCCACGAGGTCGATCTAAAGACGTGTGTAAAGCCTGAGGTCAGCTCCCCAGACACCAACATCACCGCGCAGTTAGGACGGAACATCACGCTAACTTGCTTTGCCACGGCCAGACCTGAACCTGCTGTTCGGTGGATATATGGTCTTAAGATACTAAGAGGATTTCGTGGTAAGTGATATTTACATAGTCACACACGTTTGTCTTCACTTAAATAGATATCTTTATTTAAAAATTAGGTGCTTAACCCTCAATTAGTGCACACAGATATTATTACACTTGGGAATGGTGTAAAAACACCACCTTTTGTATGTTACAAAATTACATATATGTTTAAACCTCATCTTCTTACACAGTTCAGTTTAAATAAAATATAAGCATATTTATGTTCTAAGTTTCTAAAAATCACTCAAAAGTGTGTATCAAAAAAGTTTTTCGTAGCATTTATTTTTAATACAATTATAAACAAAAATTGGTGCAAATTCCAACTGTCTATTGTGACACTGTCAGAGATGTAGCAATGAATACATATTTATTATTTATATGAAAATAATATATTATTTTTTATATTGTATTAAAATATTAACACACACACATATATATATAAATATATATCATAGATTTATAAATGATCAATATAACAATCATCATCATCATGAATAGTAATAATACTAATTATAAATGCATTCTTTTTTTTATAAATTATTAATATATTTTGTATATTTATTTTATAAAATAATATATAATAGATTTTATATAGATTTTTTATTTAAATTTTTTTTTTTTATATATAGATTGTTATTTATAATAATAACAAAATGTTGTTGTTGTTATTAAATTGTCCTTAGTTTCAAAAACTGTTTATTGTGTGTTCAGAGATTCAGAGCCGTGTGGATGAGGACACCATCAAGTCTCAGCTGATCCTTCCTTCGCTCCATCCGGCCGATCGAGGGCTTTACACCTGCACTGCCAACAACTTCATCGGCAATTCCTCTATCAGTGTTTTACTGGATGTGAAGTCTCCGGAAGGCTCAGTGTCTCATTCCTCAGGCTTCCCTGCTGCCATCGCTGAGGAAAATGTTTACATTGATATCCGTATTGCCAAGCAGACAGTCTATGGCATCACAGTCGAGTGGCATGCTGTGACAGACAATCCAGCTGAAACCTGGTTCACCATCCATTTTGGCCGATATGACACACTCAAGAAGGAGCAGATATATATTGGGCCAGGTATCAACACATACTCTGTCACAGACCTGCTACCGGCCACTAAATATGAAATCTGTGTTACTCTAAAAAACCAGGCTCCTCGGGATGGCCAGTGCATTGTATTTGTGACAGGCAGTGATTTCAATGAGATGGAACAGAGAGAGAAGCTCATTCATATTGTCATCATTGTACTTGCCATGGTGCTCGCTGTGCCCGCTGGAATGTACGCCTGCACCACCGATGCCAAGTTCAACTGCTTTGAGCGCTGCACGGAGATGTGGAGAAACAGGAGACATTCGGAACGCTCTCCCACATCTGATGAGAGACAGGGCACGTTTGACAGTCTCCAAGCTGCCAGTGATGAGGGCCTCTGCAAGGAGTCCAGCAAAGAGCAGAAAGCCAGACGAAGGTCTGCTGAGAAGATACAGAAACCAAAGAATGAACGAAGACCGACAGCTGAGCTTTACTGACACCACACACTCAAAGACAGCTATAGACTCATTAATACCCATGAAAGGATTCAGACAAGCCTCCATTTAATTACATTGTGACATTTATCCAGCTTGAGTGGAGATCCGAGTAAAGTTAATATGCTTATTATGGATGCCACAATCTTCAGAAGAGAGTCTCAACTGGTCATGAACTCATGGATTAGCTGCTGCTCAACAGGGTTTTCCAGACAAACTGGTCAAATCCATGGAATAAAAGCAAAGACCATTAATACACTGAATCTCTAGTACAACTATATTTAGAAGAGAACAAATGCACTTTGACAACTCGTGAGTATTAGTAGGGCTCAAAACATAGAAAACATTCATAATACAACTACTGTATATAAAATTGATTTTGATCAGTTTATTATATGTGGTTGATGATGATATTTTTAATCTAAATTATGAATTATTTTAGGTTGAGTTGCACTTGTATGATTGTTTATGTAACAGATTTATTTTAATGCACATAATACGAACACAGGAGCACAAAACAGATTAGGATTTGTTTATGCCTGTTCCATATCATGTCGATCCAACAGTGGACCCAATACTTTACTTTTAAAATAGACACTGGTGTCAGCTAGCAAGCACTTTGGCAAACAAACTGAAAATGTCATATACAGACAATGAAAACTGAACAATGAGTGATACAAGACTGAAATGCACTGACCTTTAAAGGAACTGAAACTGACTTTAATTTGAACATAACTCTAAGTTGCTGTTTTGGAAAATAAATGTTATAAATATTGTTTTATGACCATATTGTTTTATGTCCTAAAGTATTATACTTTGTTTCTTTTAAAAAAATGAGTGATAGGTGCAATATTTGTCTGTCAGTAAATGTATAAAAGTATATATCTGAACTTGTGTTTCTGTAGTTGATTTTGTATGATAGATTGTGGACAGTGCAATTGAAGGCTTTAAATTTCATTCAAGAGATTTGTGAAGATGCATGAAATAACTATCAGGCCGAAGGTTTAGCGCTGCTGAAGCGTGCCACTCTGCACCAATCCAGGCTTGTTGACAGTTACGCTTTGTTTTTTTCCGTTGTGGTGCTGCTAAACCAGGATTAAAACATACAGTACGTAACCAATCATGCTACGTCACTAAAGCAGAGCACAGTTCTCTGCATACGGTATACTTATACCCATGCTCATAAATCTGTGCGTGGAACTTTTTGAAAATGGTTTTAATGGATATGTTTTTGATACTTGAAGAGTGCTTAAAGAAAACAGATCTTTGTTATGTATTTCAGTGTTAAACTTTGAGTGTTCTGACTTTACATCACTTTACAGGTCTCTGTGACCTTAACCAGAGGGCTCCAAAATCAACTAGTCAAAATGTACGCATCTTGGTTTGAATGTTCTGTTTTTCTTTTATCCCAGTCCATCAGCGCACTTTGCAAGTTTGTAATCCTCTCTAAAAAACCCAGTAATCCTACATGCTTCCTGCAGGGTATAATTCCATGTCATTTGTGCTTTTACCCCCAGTGCTGCTTTTACTATCTGAAAACAGACTT